GGAAGCAAAAAGAACTCCGTTCAGTACTAACACGCTCTATGAGCGGCTTCACGAGTTCAGAAATCTGCGCATTTAAGGAAATTCGTTTTTATTAGCTGCTTGTGCTTCAATGGTTTGAAATCACTTGCTTTTAAAAACAAGCATGCAAATGATAAGCTTTCGTGACAGTAACGTCACGTGAGCGCAACCACGATAGAGACGATAGTCCAAACTCTCTACCAGTTAATCATACAAGTCTACTGGTAAATTGTGATACCCCTATTTCTGATAACAACAATGAACTGCACCAACAGTGAACAACAGAGCAATCAAGTGTGAAAACACACCAACAGAGTGATATGTCTGTGTTGTACAGGGTGGTGAGTACTCAGATGCCTCCTGCGCTGACAATGAAGGTGATGGTGTACGAGACGCAAACTTACAGCCAGGTAGAATCGAGTTCATAGTGATTCCTGATATTGCATATGAACCATCTTATATCGTTGTGTTTCTCCTTATATCTCAATAAAGGATTACCGGGTGACGGCCAATGGCATGAGTTCTTCTGTGGGTTCACCGCCCTCGTTCACAGTCACCACACAGGTGTTCCTGACACCCACTGAATTGCACATGCTCCGCCGCCCCCCAGTGGATAGAGCATGCAGGTACAACTCCCAAAAGTATTCATAACTATATTCTTACATTTTCTATACATTTTCCATACACCAGGGTAGGAAATTATTGTGGGCTTGTGGCAAAAAAACACAGAAATGAAGAAAAATGCTCCCCAAATTCAGGATAAGGGTGTAAAAAAAATTCCTGCACAATGAAGCTAAGTATATTACGGCTGTTGCAATTAAAGTAAAAATTAATTTTAAAAAAGTGTTGATTGCGGCATTACATTTAGATTTTCTCACGTAGCATCAGATTTAGTTTTCAATGTTATTTTGCAGCGTTGACCATTATAACCAATACAAACACATGTTACTGTTGAGCTTATGAATGCAATAGCAATGGCCAATCAGAGGCATTCAGATTAGTTACCAAGCTTTCACTGGCTGATTTAGACCACTTTAGTGATTATAATGAGAGTTTTTGCGAGAGTGCTGATTTTTATATATTCTCATTCTTAGGTCTCACTGCAGTCAACCTCCCTTCCAACCCATCAAGTCCCGCCTGTTGTCTCGCACTTTATCCGACACCCTAACCACAGATACTGACTCAAGCTTAGACCTCACACAATGTCCCCCAACATCCTATCAGACGATGCCGTCGTCTCCTCGCTCCTCCCTCTCCGATGAAGCGTGTTTCAGCTCCTCTTCCTCACGGGTTAACACTCCCCTTCACTCCAGTCTCATGAACCAATCAGAGTATTTCACTCCTGAGTCACATGACCACAACGTATTTAATGGAACTAACTTGTCTGCAGTAAAAGAACACATTTTAACAGGAAGTCTGACAGGGCTGAACACAAAGAAGGATATTGATGCAAACTCTGGGTCAGAAACTAGAAGCAAAGGTTTAGATTCAGATCAGGACATTCAGAGTGAAGTAAATGCCCTCACTAATGGGTATCAGCAGTCAAACTGTCTTGAGAATCACTTGGACGCTTCTGACCATGAAAACCACAGTCAAAGTGAAGATGTTAAACTGGACGGTAACAATCATGTGACCAATAAGAATGGCAAATTCCATGGAGAAACAGAGGAAGAGACCAGAACAAAGAGCAAGCAAGTCAAAGGAAGACTCAAGGAGAAATTTGAGCCCACAAATGCACCTCCACCACATGAACCACTAGTAGACAGCTCTCTAGTGCCCTCAGTATTATACCAGCATAGAGTCAATGGGCTGGTCCTGGCCCTGCTGGTGGAGCCCGAGTTCAACACAGACCCTACGGCCAGAGATGAAGTGGTGAGAAGCGTGTGTGTGTCTACTTGTATTTTCTACATATTAATGTAATGAATTGTGCTGAATGTGAACCCCCTATCTCTCTCTCTCTCTCTCTCTCTCTCTCTCTCTCTATATATATATATATATATATATATATATATTTTTTTTTTTTTGGTAATGAAATTTCCCATAAAAATCCATTAAAAAATTTAAAAATCAATTTTTAAATAAATGCTGTTCTTTTGAACTTTCTATTCATAAAATAATCTTTAAAAAATCTATAAAAACATTGGTAATAAAAATGGCTTCTGAGCAGTAAATCAGCATATTAGAATGAATTCTGAAGGATCATGTGACACTGAAGTAATGATACTGAAAATTCAGCCTTGATCACAGGAATAAATTCCATTTTAAAATAGATTAAAATACAAAACAGCCAGTTTAAATTGCAATGATATCTCACAACATCACTTATTTTAGTCATCAAATAAATGCAGCCTTGGTTGAGCATAAGAGAAAACTTTTATTTATTTATTTATTTTTATCTCACCAACCTTAAACGTTTTAATCATGGGAGAGTATAACTCAAGAAATTCTGGTATCACTCACTTTTGGTATAACATTAAAATTTTTAAAAAATGTCTTAAGACATTAACTTGCGAATTTTATTGCATTATTACATCACATGAATGCCTAAATAAACATAATACGGATGTTCAAATAAGTGCAGCCTCGGTGAGCAATGCATGAGACTCAAAAATATTAAAATAATGTTACTGACCCCAAACATTTCAATGTGTATAACTGTATTTTTCCATTATTAAAGTGTTGTATATTGTTATTGCAGCATCACAGCAGCTTGGCATCACTGAATGGGCTTGAGGCTCACTTGAGGAACATCTCACCAGGGACCCCCGGCCTACCTGGGCCTTATACCTTTGCCCACTATGACTGCATTCAAAACACACTCACTAGTAAGTCCTATCTCGTACATATGTAAACATCCACACAAAAAACAGAATCCTAATTGAATTGTGAATTGTGTCAAACTTACTGAGAATCTTCGTCAACTCAGTCTAAATGTTGAACTATTTCAGGAACAAACATAAAATACAAAGTGACTTTTATATTGTTCTGTAGCTAATGTATGTGGGCGCTCCGCTGGACCCCAGGATCGTGCCTTTGTGAGGGCCACTGCGCTGCTCCATTCACAGTTCTCACACTTAGACACACTACAGGAGGCCATTGTCAGGTTAGAGTGTGTGTTTGAAAGCCTGTTTTGGTCATTTCTGTCATACAATGTGTGTTTTGAAAAAGTTTCTCTGAATAATTATGTGTATGTAATCATCACTGTATGCTAGAGGTTCAAACGTGAGTGTTAAAAATGGTTTTACACACATTTCAGCTATGTAAACAGTGTTTGTGTCCTGAATTACAGGAACGCTGGCGCGGCAGTGTATGGCACCCGTAACACTGCCCAAGAGACGTATTTTCTCCAGCAGGGAACACCTGTCAGAAACTCTGGAAGTCCTGATCCTCAGGATAGTGCCTTCTCACTACCCAGAAAAGCCCGTCAGCGCCTCCTTAAACATGGGGTTAACTTGCTTTAAATTTGTTGGATTTGAGTTCCTCTTTTATTATTTCATAGATTTCCACCATATACAGTGTGTCTCTCTTATACTGCTCAGAATGTAATGAATGCTTTTTATATAATAGGCTGCTGTTTGTTCATTTCATTAGAAAAAGTAGAGCATGAAAGTGTAAAATACAAAAATATAGAGAAAGTGTCTCCCTCCTGAGAGGCTGGTTCTGCTGTAACCCTTTGCTGTTTTGAGAAATGAGTCCGGTTTTAAATGTGGGACCATTCAGTGTTATAATGTGTATAGTTGTCAAAACTTTCACCTTTTTAAATGGAAGCCAATTATGCTTGAGTGTGAATAAACGTCCTTTAGTAGGCTACACTTGTTTGAGATTGTCGGGATGGTTAAGATATATTGCAAAAATATGTTTATACAACTGTTTAAACGTAGGACTTTTTTTTTTTTAACTTTTATTCAACAAGGACACATTAAATTAGTCAATCGTGACTGTAAGGACAATATTATAAAAGCTTACTATTTCTAAGAAATACTTTTTATTGAGAAAAGAACCTTACCATATTACCAATTTTTCCATAAAAATATTATTAAGCAGCACAACTTTAATATTGATGATAAGTAATGTGTCTTGAGCAGCATATCGGCATATTAGAATGATTTCTGAAGGATCGTGTGACACAGAAGACTGGCGTAATGATGAAAAAATTAGAGATAAATGACACTTTAAAAATACAAATGATAAAAAGCAAATAAAATGTCACAATAGTACTGTTTTTACTATATTAAATCAAATAAATACTGTAGTTTAACCTATAGGAGCTGCTCTACAAGTATTTGCAAACACTTTTAAGGCAAAAATATTTAACAAAAAATAGTTTCAAATTATAAAAATACATATGTTGTTCTACACGTAGATGCTTTTTGGGTGCCTAATGTTACTGGATTGTTGAGATGAACTACACCTGTGGTAAACCTGACCTGTGTGAACTTGAAAACTGAGTTTATACATTCAGTAAACTGTACCTGGTTAACAGTAACTTCAAATGTGAAGTTATTCGGAGAAAGGCAATTTGATTTGATTGTTTGTTATCTGTGCAATGAAATTCATACATTAGTAGGCTATTGTGAATTACAAAGTGTAGCTTAAGTGTCCAAATACTACTTAGGGCCAGTGTATGTGCATCCAGATGAATGGTTTCTATGTAGCATCCAGGAGAGCTTCAGATTACCTCTCTGTGTCGGTTGTGGAGCCATTGTAAGGGTAGTGCACTTTGGGGAAAGTTTTATGCTTCCCTCGGTCCAAAGTTTGTTTCTCTTGCAAATGAGCAGCTCGTTGGTGATGGTGCAGATGTTCTGTAATGATGGTCATTAGGAGTGAGAATAAGAATAGACTGAACTGGCAGGGCTCTAGGCGCCTCATTATGCAGACACGTTTAAAAGGTCGATGGGGGTGCGAATGGCTGCTTAAAGGTCCCAAACAAAACCAGGGGGAGGAGAGTCAGAAGAAGCCAAAATTCAAATTCCACAGAACAAGCTGAGCTTATTGTCATTCACCCTCTTTAGTCGTATCGTGGAGAGCAGAAGACGAGCATCACCGGAGAGCAAAACTTGTGGATATTTGAGATAGCCATGGTCACGCGCACGCGGTTTTCACTGCTGGTCCTTGCTTTCATGGCTATTACTATAGGAGTACAGTGCCGGTCGTTTCGTTCACAGCTTCGCAAGGTGACATCGTTTCAAGGAGAGCGTAAAATCCGTATTGGACACGTCCACCGACGGAGCCGTCGCGAACCGGGATCCGAGCACGACCAGTGCGCGCTCCTGAGCGCACCGTGGACGGAGAGCACCAGTCCGCTTGGGGACTGGGGCCAGATGTACCGTCTGAAGATATTATCGACGATGAGCGATGGTCCACGTCGTGCTGTTTTTCCAGAACAAGCCCTCTTCAGATTCGTTAGACGGGTGTATCGGTGTTGTCAAGTGGGGTACCACTGTGGAAGTGTCAAGGGAATACAAGGCGGAAAAATTGGAGGTAAGTAGCCTACGTTAGTTCGAACATTAGATGCTGGTGTCTCCACTAGGCTTAAGGCCGTGATGTTACTCACGTAATCATTCCTCGATTAGATACAGCTTCACCAGCTACATTTTTGATGGTAATTAGGTCTCAAAACATCTAAATTAGGTTTAGAATGAAGTTTTACAAAAGGTAGGGTTTAAAATGAAGCAGCGTTATTCAAATTTAGTCAAAAAAAAGATAGCAACAGTAGGGCAAAGAGGCAGCTTTGACAAAAAAATATTGCATTATAACTTACTTGTATTTTAATTGAGCAACAGGCACCTTGAAATTCTCCTGAAATATAATGAAAGACCACCAAACTAGACCAGCACAAAACCAGCCTTGTCTTTTCAACAGGCTAATACATAATTTGTAGGTAGGCCTACAATAATCCTTATATTTTACAGTAGGTACATATACTGCATGACAGCACTGTCCCTTAACATGAAGTGTCTCTTTCTGACTTGTCAAGACTCCAACATTGAGTTTCTGCTTGGCGAAGATGTGCTGTCGGCCCCATTGGAGAAAGCGGAAGTTCATTTTCACTTTTCGAACCCCAAACACCTCAACATCCAACCTGTGCTCCCCTCACTGGAGAAACGAGGCTTCCCTACCAGGTGAGGCAGAGGAACTTGATAGATGAAGTGAGAATGTTGTTAATGTAACACTATTCTCTGAAGAAATTACTAAATAAAATAATAATTAAAAAAAAATGTAAATAGAAATCATCCCAATTTTGTCCTCTCTGCAGGTACAGTGTCTGGTTTCGAGATGGTGTCGTGGAGCTGAGAGTAGATCTTCTCGCCCTCTTCCAGGCTCTGCAGCGGGCGATCGGAGGATCCAGCAGAGGCCCGAGCCTGATGGAAATGCATCGGGTGAGGGGCTTGCCCAGACCAGGGGCCGTTGTCCGAAAGCAAAGACCCCCATCTCTTCAAGACACAGTGCCTGTATTGTGGGGGGAGGTAAATGAGGGCAGGGAGGGTGCCGCCCCCCTGCAGCCCTCTTTAGAGCTGGGACTGGCTTTACACTGCAGCTCAGTGGACAATATCGCACAGCCCTGTCAAAATTACGGTGTGCATCTAGAACATGCACCCTTCATCGCTCTGACGTACAGATAGCAAGACGTTCGCAAACCGTATTGAACAGTGATTTTAGCAAATACATTTAGAAATTGCTTCTGTGTGCAACCAAAGACTGTCAATGCCTAGCGCTCCCCCTTCACGAGTTCTTTGTGGCCATAAAGTCTCCGTCCATTCAGTCCACTAACACCTGGTGTGAATGTTCCCTGGATGGTTGTATTTTTTGAAGAATTGCTAATGATTCCCATTGTTCTGTGACAGTGGGGCTTCAGCTCCAGAGAGCTTACTGTAATTCCGAGTGGCCTATGTTATATGGAAAACTATGCACTTCAGCATGTAAATTGAATTTATTAAATTATGGGTGTTATTTGTGAGATAAATGTAAATAGTGTATAATTACAGTTCTATATATAAAAAACTTTGTTTGAGTTGTATTGTGTGTTGTTTTGTCTCAAACAAGGTGTTGAAAAGGATTGGATTTTAAAAACAGTCAAATTTAAATACAAAAAGGATCACACTCGTGTACAGAACTTGGTCGTTTTCAGGTTTGAATGAGAATTCAAGAGAAAAAAAAATGTTTCAGATTGTAATTTTGATTAGTGTGTTAAATACTCAAATATAAACACCAGGTCATGAAATCCACACAACGGTTTATGTGAAACTGAGGACTGGAGTAATGATGCTGAAAATTCATCTTTGCATCACAGGATTCAGGAATCAAGTACATTTGAAAATATATTACAACAGAAAACAGGTATTTAAAATTGTAATAATATTACATAATACAAATGTTTTTAATGTCATTTTAATCAAATAAATTAAGCCTTGGTGAGACTTCTTTCATTAACAGTTAAAATCTAACCAACCTCAAACTGTCATATACGTTATGGTTTATTGCAAGGAATATTTAATTATGTGAGTTAAAGACTTGAGTTGATGTTTGAATATATTTTACTCCATTTTCCAGTTTTACAGTGCAGGTGTACTGTAATTTTACAGATTATGCTACTATTCTACACATTTTTCTATGAGTCACTAGCATAGTTATGAAAACAGTGACAATATCTTTGTATAAGATAACAAGAGTTAAACTATACACTCAATTAAAAAAAAAACTAAAGGGTGAACAGTTTTATAAATGTGTAAAATATATGTTAAAGGCATAGTTCACTTTAAAATAAATTTTTGATATGTTTTAGCTTACCTCAAGGGCATCCAAGATGTAGGTGTCTTTGTTTCCGCAGTAATTATAATATTGATATATTTAGGTCAAACCGTTCGTGTCTGTCAGTCATATAATGGAGGTCTATGGTCACCCCCTCAAAGAGCATGCACAGAGAAGTCCAAATTAAACATGATTTAATGACTCGTAAGTGTAAGTACACATTGATGGCCTATACGACACGAAACAAGCGGTTTGTATGAGAAAACGAACAGTATTTATATTTTCACCTTTTGTGTAACCACGCCCAAGTGATCTGAGGGCATGGGCGCTTTGTGCCTGAGGTTACAAGAGGTAAAAACGATATAAATACTGTTCGTTTTCTCACACAAACCGCTTGTTTCGTGTCTTAGGCCATCAATGTGTACTTACATTTACGAGTCATTAAATCATTTTTAATTTGGACTTCTCTGTGCATGCTCTTTGAGGTGGTGACCATAGACCTCCATTATATGACTGACAGACAAGAACGGTTTGACCTAAAAATATAAAAAATTGAAACTACTGTGCAAACAAAGACACCTAGCCTACATCTTGGATGCCCTTGAGGTAAGCTAAACCATACAAAAAAAAATTTTTCAAAGTGAACTATCCCTTTAATGCGACAAATGATGACAATATAGATGCAAGTGAATACAATTATTTTTTAAATGGAGTGGAAAAACTGGCACTGATTACGTATGAACAACAACTTGAAGGTTAACTGTGGGTTAGGTTGTGATATTGAGAGAGGCAGGAAGTGAAAGGACTTTATCAAGTTTACTTAACACGAAACACCTCGGTCTGATGTCACATAAACGGACACAGGTGTGAAAGCTCATCGCCCTGCATCATAATTGCTTATTACAATCCAATATTTGTTTTGTATTAATTTTCTGGTGCCGATTTCATTTTTGCTTTCAACAACTGTTTGCAAGGTGAATGAGTTTTGTATTATCATCAGTAAAGCTACCACAAAGACATGATTCATCATCTGAGCTATATTCTAAGTATTTGGTCATTTCTCCTAAGATTTTCACATGCGTGGCTGGTTAGAATATGGTTCGAAATTAGAATAATGGTTAGAATTATGACCATACAGTGATGGAAGAAAGCGCAAATTTTCTTACTACATTTTTATTACAAACAAACAGTAACAGAAAATGACAGATTTTGTGAAAAAAAGCTTATTTATAAACTTGTGTTTATGTAAAATTCTTTCACATTAAATGGACTATTTGGACATATTGTTGAATTATACATTTGAAAACCTTTGACATTTTACTGCTTTTGTTTTCTTAATTCAATAATTAAGCAGAATTAAAGCTGATCAACATTTTTGGAACAAAATGTGTGATTCCTTTATTGGTAAGTCTAATTTCAATTCTTTTTTTAAAAAAAAACGTTGTCGCCTGCATGCAAAAAAACACAAAGGAAATGACAAATGACATCACAACTGAAGGGAAGTCATAATTTGTGTAACAATAAACAATATATATCAAAATTAAGTTTCTTTCACTCTCTTTTAAGATTATCACAGTTAAAAAAATGCAACAAAACATTTATGATTATTATTTTTGTTTAATTAAATGTCTGAATTTGGAACAAGGGTGAAATCTGTCAAATAGAGAGAATTTCAAAAAATTTCAAAGGGAAAAGCAAATCATGTTTAATTTGAACATCTCTGTGCATGCTCTTTGAGGTGGTGACCATAGACCTGCATTATATGACTGACAGACAAGAACGGTTTGACCTAAAAATATCAAAATTGAAATTACTGCGCAAACAAAGACACCTAGATCTTGGATGCCCTTGAGGTAGCTAAACCATACCAAAAATTTTGAAAAGTTAATTTCAATAAAATCTATCAAATAAAATGTATACTTAAAGGACTCCAATAATTGTATTAAATAACTAATAAGTTTCCAAGTTTTAATGTCATTTTCAAATATATATATATATATATATATATATTAAATTGGGACAATTGGTACATAAATGGTATGGTACATAAAAGTACAAGAAGTTTTAAGAAACATCATATGTGCAGTATGTGACGTGAACATGTAAACAGGAGTCTCAAACGTTTCAAGATTCTCAGGCAAGATTACAGTGTGAGTGTTGAATGTGTTTGTAATGCTCATTTTCACTCAATGGTTAGACTCTACACTTTGCCCTCAACACAGGCCGAGGCCAAAGTTCACAAAGAGGGGGGGAGAGAACGTAAGAGAGAGAGAGAGCGACAGAGTAAGGAGGAGGGGATGAAGGGAAAGCAAGTAGCAAAAAAAATCAGATTTCAAAGCAAAAGGACAACAGGTGTCTAGACTTAATACAGAAGCAGAAACAGAGGAACACTGGAAAACAAGGAAAAGAAAAGCATAAAGAAAATGAAAACAAGCTCTACTTCTGACGGACGGTCTACAGAACTCAAACCCTGAGAAACAGGTGAACACCGAACGAGTCCGATAACTGCGTGTGTGTACGTCTGTTTGCCCACAAAGCAAATTATAGAAGAACGACGGCTGCTAAAACACCTCGGAACACGAGAGATGGAGGGAGGAGAGGGGAGGAGAGCAGAAGGAAGCGGCCGGCTGTCGGCCTTGCAGGAGCAGCTGGTGTGGTCCCTGCTGGGCTCGGGACTGTCCAAAGAGCTGCTGATCCAGGCCATGGGAGACCTGGAGAGAGAACGGGGCCCGGCCGGCGGAGAGAGAACGGACCGGGCCGACGGAGAGAGCTCTGAGGAGGGAGAGATGGACAATCCTCCTCCCATCTTCCATGATTTGGAGAGACTTCCACCGGAGGAGGCCGCCAGGCAACGGGCTGAAGTCGACCAGCTGTTGCAGTAAGTAACTAAAAAACTTCCAATCAATCCAAACTTCATCCAAAACACACACGCTGAACTATCTAACAAGACCTCAAATGTTGCTCTTCATCAAAATCTACCTTCGTCTTCTCAACTTACTATTTTACTCCTGATTAAACCTCCTCTTTTTCTCTGGCTGATCTCAAGTCTTCTCTCTTCTATTCCTATTCATTGGCTTCCTCTCTCCTCTAATGCTCTGCTTCCCAACTGATGGGGTGAATATAAAGGAGGTTCCACCTTTTTTAGTTACTAATTACCCACCCTATTCATTATTCTCTGGCCATTTCTATCTTTTTAATAAATGAGCTACATCGACTGGTTAAAATTAACAGAGTGACATCGCTCTCTGTGTGTGTGTGTGTTTGTGTACACAAGACTGTGGTGATATTGTAAAGATAGTGCTGTTGTGAAGGGAGGTTTGTTGCTGAACATGTGGCTCTTTGAACAGTGATGAAAATGGATTTGTAATGCTCTTTATTTAAATTGCTTTATGTGTGTGTGATTTGTATAGTTGAAATGCATTGTTGTTGGATATGTTTGTGTGTTTGTGAGGCTTTGTGTGTTTGTATGGCTTTCACAAAGGTTATACTTTTACTGGACTTTGGCCCCGTGTCTCTTTCCTTATCTTACAGTGTAAACATTGCACCATCTCTACCTCTATACTATCCTTCCTCTTCCCCCTCACCCTTCTCTCAAAACATTTTTAAAGCGTTTTGTCTCGAAAAAATGAAAATAAAATGTTCTGAATATTTTGTAGGGTTTTGTACAGGCTACAGTGCAATCGGTGTAATATATACTGTGTACTAATATAAATATATGGTGTGTGTGTGTGTGTAATCAATGTTGAAAAGAGTTGTGCTGCTAAATATTTTTTGGAAACTGATACTTTTTTTACAGGATTCTCTAATGAATAAATATTTTTTTATGTTAAATAGAAATATTTTGTAACATAAGTCTTTGCTGCCACTTTTAATAAATTTAATTCACTTAAAATGACCTTAGAATAAAAGTATTAAATTATAGTAAAAAAAA